TGTCTTAATGAATAATGACCTTCTTTTGTATTGCATTCTTTGCTTCATCAATTTTTTATTTTATTTCTCAAACTAGAAGCCCCAGTTTTTCGGCGGGAGATGATTGTCGAACACTCATTTTCTTCTTGCGTATGCTTCTGTTTGTTTGTCTCTTGATTTTTATTTGATTTATTCAATCTAAAAGTTAGAGGATAGGGGTGGGCTTTCTGCTAGTAGTTTTTAGTATTCAAGTTAAAAATTCAATAAAAAACTACTAATTTGACTCAACAAATGGTATTATTGTTTCTAAATGACTTAGAATATTATCCTTACCACATCTGCAAAAAGGTGTGAAAATTAAAAGTTGCGTTTTTCAAAAAAATAAAAAAATAACTGAATCAAACCGATCTGTACCCCCCTTTAAATGTCCTAGGCTCCGCTGATATTTATTTTTAGGGTTTTTATCACAAATGGTCCCTGAAATTGACTCTCACCATCAAGATGGTCTTTGGAATTGAAAATCAATCAATGTAGTCCCTGAAAATAGGTGTTGCAAATCAATGTAGTCATTCCGTCACAATTCTGTTAAAAATTTCGTTAAGTGCAAATGTGACACTTAAACGGGCCTCACAAGATTCATGGGTTTTTATTACAAATGGTCTCCGAAATTAACACACACCATCAAGATGGTCTCTGAAAATGACCCACACCATCAAGATGGTCTCTGAAATTGAAAATTGATTAATGTAGTCTTTGAAAATAGGTGTCACAAATCAATATAATCATTCCGCCACAATGATTTTTTTTCTTCTTATAGTAGGGCCTACTTCGAAGAGAGATCCATTCCATAAATTTTTAAAGGCCTAAGAGGGGGTTTAGAAATAGTTTTCAACCAACAATATATGCACCTTGGTTATAAAATCATTATCATGAGGCAAACCTCGCTATTCTTTGAGTCACCAGACCACCAGGGAAGCGCCGAACAAGCTTTCCAAGATTAATGTTGTGAGGATTTAGAGAATGGACAACAAATGAGGTAGAGGAATGTGGATTGGGATCAGAGGTGATTGCATGACATTTTTGGGTTTACAACTTTTTATTAACTATTAAATTATTAAACCTATTTGTAATTTTTTTTGGCTAAATAGCCAAAATGGTCTCTGAGATTTGCATAATCAATATAAATGGTCACTGAGATTGAAAATCAATAAAAATGGTCCATGAGATTGTCCACCATCCATGATTTTGGTCATTTCGTTAAAAACTCTTTGGGCAATTTTCAAAGCTTCGTAACTCAATCGATTCTTAACTAAATTCGACCCATAATATATCAAAATGAAGACAGGAAAGTGTAGAACAAGATTATACCTATTTGGAAGCCTAATGGTTGCCAAAGATGGCCGGAAAATATCCTGAAAAGTGACTGATCCGCGGGAAAACTCGCCGGAAACTGGGTAAACTTTAAACGTTCATAACTTCTTCAATACTCAACGAAATCGGGTGATTCAAAAACGAAAATCATATTTCTCGATGAGACAAAGAGAATGATACCTTTCTTGATGGCTAACTTGCCCTTTTTTTGCCGGAAAACAGTTTGAAAGTGGCTAACCAAAACAATGGTCCTTGAAACTGAGCATTGATTTAGGACACTTACTTGCAAGACTACATTGATCGATTTTCAATTTCAGGGACCATTTTAATGTCGCGGGTCAATTTCAAGGACCATTTGTGAGAAAAATAACTTATGGGACCTATTTATGTGCCACATCAACACTTAACAAATTTTTTTACTGAATTGTGACGGAAGAACCACATTGACTCGCGACACCTATTTTTAGGGACTGCATTGATTGATTTTTAATTTCAAGAATCATCTTGATGGTGAGGCTTAATTTCAAAGATCATTTGTGATAAAAACCCTTATTTGTATTGATGTTTTCAGCTGGAAAATGAATAAATTGAAAAGTAATTCACATTTGGGCTGAAAGATGAATTGTGAGGTGAGGTTATTGGGTTGGGTATTCTACCTAAGTTGTGGCCGAGACTTTCTCCAATGGGCCTCTTATGAAACTTCAAATTGGTGTTTGATTAAAGTCCATATTATAAAGAAAGAAAAAAAACACTATTAATCCCAAATTAAGATGCTATTATTAAAAACCAAAGAGGAAAAAACACATATTTAATGGCTGTGTTTTGTTCTTAATACAACTCATGCATGTACAATTGCACATGAATAGGTTGAAAGCTCAAAACCCAGCATGTGACCCTCACATGATTAGGCACCAATCCCCAATTGCTTAATTGAAACCAAGTACATTGATTACATAAATTATAACATAACATCACATTCAATATAGTTAGAATCGGATAGTTTGACGAAGTTCGTGACGCTGGGATTTGGAGTAGAGGACGAAGAGAAGGAGGCCATGACGAACAAAAGATAGACGAACGATGACTAGGTACAATGGCTAAGAAATTATGAATATTAAATATTATTTGCCACTTAGTACTACGGTTTAGTGGTATTCTTCTTCACTCTTCAATGGTAAGTGAGAGGTCTTAGGTTCGATTCTCGTCAAAGGCGAATTTGAACTACATTATTGCTAGCTCATTGTATGGCTAAGCACACTTCCCTCCCCTTAGTGTAGATATTGACTGTTAAAAAATATATATATATTTAACACATTAATTATGCATCAAAACCAAGCATGCAAATGCTCTCACTTCCCACTAATCTTATACATGAAGTTGTCCAATATTCATTTCATGGTATCCTTTGAGTATGGCTCAAATGGTTTAACTAAATGCCTCTAAGAGGCCGAGGCAGGGTTGGGAGCCGTGGCGGAGCCAAGAATTTAAAGTAATGGGGTCAAAAAATAGCTTTAAAAAATCGATCATACTTTCATTTATAATTGTAAACGACATGTTCTTATATTTTCGAAACATCGTCTTACAACACCATTATCAGTAGAATCAAATACATCTTTCTCATTGTACACAACCAACTATCATTCAACTATTGATCTACCCATCCTATTATGATGTGGATTCTCCACAATTTTCATCACCAAAAAACTCTTTCAACCGAAACAGTTGCAACAGGTAAAATCAATGCTAATTTCACTAACAAGCACCAAGGGATACTGTCTATCCTTCTTTGTCTCTACCAACTTTTGTACAAGGTTACTAATTCCTTTCAACGTAGTAGCTTTGTTAAATTAAAAAAGTATTAATTAAAAATTATTTTTCATTTTCTTAAGGATAAGTTTAGAAGTAAAAGATTTTTGGGATAAGTTAACAAAGCAGCGTGCTGAAGCAGTGTTGCTATACAGGTTCATAAAATATTCAAGGGGATAACTTGACAAGGTTATTGGGGTCAAGTGATGCCAATGCTTCGGTTTAAAAAAAAAAAGTGATGCCAATGCCCCCACATTGGTTCCGCCAGTGCTTGAGCAATTTGTAAAAATAGTGTGTGAACTTTATCTTACTTTAAAAAAGAAATTTTTTCTGAATCCACCGCTATGAATTAGATGATTGATGTCTAATCCTTTGAATCTCGTCAATGTCTTATATAGTGAGGTTTCGGCAGTAAACAAGGGTTTAAGTAAATGTTTAATTAAATATTAACTGGATTAAGAAAAATAAAGAAGATTAACAACTAATCTAAAGTCAAAACTGGTTGTGTAAATCTGCGTGCTGGTTTAGCAATTTAGCATATTCATTTTCCTTTTCGCGGCTGCCACTTGTTGAATTTGGATTCAACGAATCGGAAGGCAACACGTAGTCGACATTCCAACACTTGCCACATGCTTGTCGACTTATTTCACCCTTTAATTTGGGAACTTGAAATTGAAACACTTTAGCGGGTGGATGAGTCATCTTCCAGACTTCCCCCACGGTTTTAAAATTTTATTTACACTTTGAGAGTTGAGTTCATGGATCCAAGTTGATTAACGGTTATAAAACGGCTAATTAATTACTTTGTTATCATTATAATTTTCTCGACTTCCAAACCATCTTTCTTTTGACCAGACACTCACATATTGTATGGGGTTTTTCTGAGAGCGGATGTGAAAACGGCTGTATATATGTTTTGTTGCTTTTAGAACATATATTTTATAAGTCGTGTTCAAATTTTAAAGGAGGCAAAGGTGTTGGTTTAGAACAGTTGCGGCGTAAATAATGTGTCGGTTTCTTGGATTCAATTCGATCATTTATTTGAACTTGATGAAAACGAGCTTATGACGTGGTAGATAACATGAACGACCACATCAACTGTCACATTAGTTAGTATATAAATGTGATATATAAAATATGATATGTCTAACAATATGTTGTACTCAATAAATATTGGTTTCACTCTAGTATTCCGTATGTTTGGCTAGATCCCAGAAGAGTTGAAAACTCTAATTCATATGATGTTATGAATTGAACTAACATTTCGTCTAGTTACATATTTCTCCAAATGTTTGAGGTCTCAAATTCAAATACCTTTCCCTAGAGAAATATTGTGATTCTATAAATCAAAATCTAAGTGATATACCGTATTATATCTACTAAAATAAAAACAAGAGGATTATAGGATACGCTAATTGGAGGATCTTGATGAATTATATATGTATGCACAACAATTAGCATGAATAATTTTTCATGTACTTAAAACATGACTACGTAATATTGTTATTTTATTTAAATTATAACACGTGTCTTTATAATATATAGAAGAGTACACCACGTAACTTTAGTCTATATTGCCTACAAGATTTTGTAACTTATCCTTATATTGCCTACAAAATTTTCTGCCAGCAAGTACTGACGATGATGTGAAATTTCCCCATATAACCATACAAAGAAATAGACAGGCTAAGCAATATGGTAAATTCTAAGCAATATGGTAAATTTAGTAATCATGTATGGATGCCGATTCAGAGAGAGTGACAGAAACAGAATCGGATTGGATGTACCGACAGCCGGCACAAACTTTTAAGCTGCTACTGTCAAGCCATGCATGTCAACCGCAAGCAATGCTCCCGCACCGGACCCCACGTGGCCTTATTCGCCACCCCTCGTGCCATTGAATTTTTATACCTCCGCCTCCCCTCCTGTTCTCTATATATTTAACAGCGAAGCAAACGACCTGCACACGTTCACATAGTGCTGGCCGGCCGGAAAATTGATGTCAGCAAATGAAAGCATGGAGTTTAAGGACACTGAGCTCACCTTAGGGTTACCTGGTACGACGTCAGATTACAACCATCCTCGTGTCTTTGGAGGGTTCAACTTCAAGATAAGTAGTAGTAATAGCAGTTCGAAGAAACGTGGTTTCATGGATACCGTTGATCAAATTAGCCTGCACAAAAGCTCTGAAGCCAGCGAACCACTTGGCAGCTCATCATCTAGTAGTAGTTCTACAACAACTACCTCCGTCATCAAAGCCCCAGCTGCAAAGTTAAGATTTTGTTTTAACTTGTATATGTTGTTTCGGACATGCAGTAGTTCCGACGTGTGATATCAAATCGTTCAGTTTTCAATTTGTACTTCAAGAATTATATATCCATGTCAAAAGTTGACTAACCATCAGTACTTGTTTAGCCGCTTGACTGTCGACATTTTCATTTCAGCTTTATCTAACGAACTGCGTGTTATATTCAGAGCAAGAATAGTTGGGTGGCCGCCGGTAAGATCGATGAGACAGAAGGCGTTGGTGGTGGTGCGGAGCATCAGAAAGTATGTTAAAGTGAGCGCAGATGGAGCTCCTTATCTACGTAAACTAGACTTGGAGATGTACAGAAGTTATCAAGAGCTATTGAGAGCATTAGAGCGAATGTTCCCTTCCTTAACCATAAGTGGTCAGTATTATATAGAGTTAGGCTTTTTAGTCAAAATGGTTTATGGTATGACATAATTTTTCATTTTGGTCTATAACAATGAAAATCGATAGAAGTCGTTCTTGAGTTTGTCTACCGTCAATTATTTTGGTCATTCTACAAAAATATGCCAATATAATCATTAAATGGAGGGCTTGGTTTGACAAGAACACCCTTAAAAATGTGGTCACATGATCGTTCATGTGACACTTTAACGAGGATATTGATAAATTTTTTACGGAATAATCAAAATGATTTACAGTGGACAAACTCAAGGACCACTTCTATCAATTTTCATTGTCAAGGACCTAAGTAAAAAGTTATGCCAGTATCAAAGATCCTTTTAGCTAAAAAGCCTACTTAGTTATAATTAAGCTAAACTCTAGTACTTGTTAATTAAGAGATATTTTTCGATGTGACCGTCACACAAAGTGGTACACCACGTGTCGTTAAATAAATGGTGGGATATATGTGTTCAAAAGTTAATAACTTAAAAAATAAAATTTCTCACCACATATATAAAAACACGTGGTGTACCACCCGTGTTCCCGTCACAATTAAAAATTTCTCGTTAATTAACTAGTTGTTATACCAATATAAATTTGTGATACAAGCACTAATTAATAGATACAAGGTTAGTAATTAATCTTGGTAATGTTTTAGGTAAGTGTATTGAGGATAGCAATGAGGTTATGAAACCTGCAGCGAAAGGAATGGATCAATATGTGTTGACATATGAAGACAAGGATGGAGACTGGATGTTAGTTGGAGACGTCCCTTGGAAGTAAGTTAATTACTACAGTACTGAGTTACATATGCATGTAAAGAAAACGTTGTCACAAATATGCAAAAACATTTCATAAAATTAAATATTAATGTGTTTGGATATATATGTAGCAAGCGAATAGAGTACGTCTGCATGTTAAACTCCAAGGTTATATATAGTTGAGTTGACAACTCAAAATTAAGATAGTTCGGTTAACAACTCAAAATTAAGTGATGTCAATAGTAGCGATCCAAATTCAATTCTCACGGAACCTCCAAAAGAGGTGTTAGTAGAGTTTGGTTGGTAGGACGATTATATGATAAACTGTAAATTCAAACATAACTTGGTCGATTCTCCACCAGCTATGCAAGTCTTGATTTAACACTGTTGTGTAAATTAATGTAGAACCGGTTTGGGTGACAAGGGTTTGGTCTATTTCTTTGTTCATCGTAGGTTTTGTTTTTTTTTTTCTCTTTGGATTTAAGTTTGGTTATGCTATTGCTTTCATGTGACTTGTCCAACCTAAATCTATAACCATACTTTCTTCGTTGTTTTTTTTTCCAATTAATTGCAGGATGTTTATGGAATCATGCAAGCGTATTCGGTTGATGAAAAGTTCAGAAGCTGTTGGGATAGGTAATCCCTTTTAATTTTCTTCATTTTATTTATTTATTTCTTTAAAAGGTAGTCGTATAATATTTGATGTAATTATTTTGCAGCTCCAAGGGCTCAGATTCCTTCCTGACCATGAATACAAATGGTACTGCTCATCATGTACACATAAATGGGGTCCCTATTTCCTTGTTAAAACCATTTTGGTCAGAAAAATAAGAGAGAAATTAACCTGACTGAACCTTTTTTTAACCTTTTTCTGCTTTTAGCCTTATGTTTTTCAGTGGATATTTGATTTCAATTACGGACTTGGATTGTCTGCCTTCCAATTTCTGTGCCCTCCTCGTGCCCTCCTGTTTTTGTGGTCACGGTTAAGCCACGTCAACATTTTATATTACTATTTTTTTTTGTTTTATTATTTTTATAAAAAAATAATATAAAATATTAACGTGACTTAACCGTGACCACACAAAATAGAATGGCACCTAAATGGGAGGGCAGACAATCCAAATCCTTTAATTACAGCTGAACCAGTAAAAGTAACTCTGCCATAGTACTTTTGCTGCAAATTGATCCTTTGGTTAGTAATAATAGCTCCACAGTTTATGGCAGAAATGTGCACTAGCTTTTGTTTTTTTGAGAAGAGATCATTTTCAGATCTCTTCTATTAAGGTTATCAGATCAAGTGATCTGAACGTTTGAAATTTTATTCAACAACTCACTTGTTTTGACTTCTTAAAAACTATAATAATTTTTAACCGTTGGATGAAATTTCAAATGCCCGGATCACTTGATTCGATGATCTTGGTGGAAGAGATCCAGAAATGATCTCTTCTTTTGTTTTTTGACAACATCATCGTGTCATGGATAAGTACATGTACTGAATCACAAGTCATGTGCAATTTGCTGTTAAATTCCCCCAAATCAATACCTTCATTTAAAACTAAATAACATTTTCAAACTTGAATACAAGAAAGACGGGCAATGATATGAATAATTGGTGTAACTCACATCTTTCACTCTAATCACCCTTTATTTGGTGTAGTTAGAATATCAGTGTGATACTCTCTTTACACACATGTTCGAATCCTTCAGTCGTAGATTAGATTAATCAAAATACTACTCGAATAAAAGAAACATAGTGCATATCACAATATGACCTTTATAATATTAAAAATAAATCATCGCGTATAAGGAGCCAAAATGTATTTATGTTGTTAGAATGTCATCTTTTACAGGCAAGCATAATTCTGCAAAGAAAGTTCAATATAAGGGATAAGATTGAAGTTATTGGAAAACAAACTTATTGTTATGTGAATCATTTGGCCTTCTTTGCTTCTTCAAAGCCAAATAAGCAAACTCCGACCTTCTAATTTTGTTTTATGTTTGTTTAATATACATGATTCTGCTTACCAACTAATTAATGGGCAGCTGTGGGGTAGAAAAAGGATTGGCACTATATTTTGTCATCTAGTTATCATGTCGATCCCATCATTTGTCTTGGGGAACAATTGAACAAATCAACCTTTAGTTAAATTCGCCAACATGCATTATGATTCTTTTATCTTTTGTTTTTCAAAATAACCTCTCACGAAATTGAAGAAGTAAAGAAATTATAGCTCAATTGGTTAATAAAATTCATTATTTGCATCGAAGATTGCGGATTGAACACTCTTCTCTTACAATATTGCTTTATAAAAGTCAAGTTACCTAAATAATCCAACTAAGTTAAAAAGAGTATATGCAACATGTTGGAGAATTAGACGATGCCTCGCCAAATTATACGTAGGATAGCAATATAACGGTATCTTAAGTTTAATAACACATGTTTGCACTTAATCTATGCACTACTACATTTAACAGTTTTCGCGACAAACAACATTTAGTCGCGCAAATAGAATTTCCGTCGCAATAATAATAAGGCGACGAAATCTTCATCGTGCACAAGTCCTCATGCATAGGTCATGAAAAAAGACCTTAAGCGATGAAAAAATAAACTTATTTGTACAACAAACTAGGCTTTGTCGCACTAATTGTATTGAAACAAAACCCTTCGCGGTGAGGACAATGGACAAAAATCTATCGTCTCGATGTCGCATTCAACATCTAGATGCCGCAACACAAGTTGCGACTTGAACTTAGAATAATACTGTCACATTAACATAACTAGGGTCGGTTATTAGTCATGTCCATCTACCCTTTGGTTGTTTAGGGCTAATAAAACACAAGTAAACCAAATGGGCCAGCAAAAATCAGTTAAGAAAGGGAACAACACACACAAAGGTTTGGGTTGGTGCTCCAGCCAACGAACCTGGTACACAACAAGGCTCCTTTCGGTGCCCCACAAGTACAGTAATAGCATAACTTTTTACCAAATGGAAATCCAATCCAGATCTTATTCAGCTCAGCCAAGCATAGATTAATATGAGAAATATTTCTCATATTGTTTTTCTATTTTTTCATATAATTTATTTTCTTTCTTTTATTCTCTCTACCAACTGAACCCAAAAGTTTTAGGAGGGTGTATTCAATTGAGATTTTAAGGGATTTTAATTCTTTTAATGAATCTAGGGATATTCAATCTGGATTTTAAGTGATTCTCTGAAATTCTAGGTGTATTCAATTAGAATTTTAAAATAGTTTATTAAAATCCTTAGAAATCCAGGTGTATTCAATTAAGATTTTAAAGAAGTTTATAACATTCCAGGTGTATTCAATTAGAAATTGATTTTAAAGAATTTGATAAAGTTGAGGAATTAGAGGGAATTGGAGAGATTTCGTAGTGTATTTTAAGTATCCACAAATCTCACCTCTTCCCATGAGATTTCGAGGGAATTGAATCAAAATTTTATATGGAATCTCTACAAATCAATTAAACTCCATAAAAATCCATGGATTTATAAATCCATTAAAATCTTTCACATTCTCAATTGAATACACCCCCTTAAACTTTAATTTTTGTTGGGTGGAGACCGGTGCCTGCAGTTCTCAGAAAATGCCACACCGCCTCTTCTCTTCAATCGAGGACCTCTTATTGATCTCCCATGGAGGCCCCCCCAGCTTAAGCTTTTAGTACTACATAAAAGGATATAGTGGATCAATACATCACTTTTTTCACGCCAAACACTGCCTTTCTCTCTCTACTTCTCTCTCTCTCTCTCTCTCTCTCTCTTTCTGCTGCCTGCCTTACATGTCTTTCTTTCCCTTTTGTTCCAAAGTAAATTGCTTTCTCATTTCTCACCCAAAATGTAATTTTGGGTAGTTTTGTGGATACCAAGAGCTCCTCCTCTGCTCCTCTCATTTGCTAAAAAGGGTCTCTCTGTGTTGTTTTCACAAGCACACCCAGAAGCTCCAAAACAGGTTTCTCTCTCCTCTTTCTCTCTCCTTGAATGTTTGTGTCCAGTTTAGCTAACTTGGATAGACTTCAAGTTCTTGATTTTGATGAATTTTGTTTGTGCATTGCGTAGATCATGCCCAAATTTTCCTTTTTAAGAGGGTTTTATGATAATTGTGATCTCGGGTTGGTGTAGATCTGTGTTATGCTTCTGTTTTGTTCCAGATCTGAGTTTCCATTGTTTGTTTTAGAAAAATCTAATTACTTTATATGCATTTATTATCTTATGATTTGTTGCTAATTAGAGACTTGTTTTAAAGTTGTTTCTTTCTGTAGTATGCGTTTCTTTTTTGGTCAGATTGAAGTATTTCTTAGATTTTTATTGGTGTATAAATTCTTCATGTTTTAAATTGATTGCTTTTGAGTTTGATCTGGATTTACCATCTGCTGAAGAATGGCATTGGTTATTTTGGCAACTGTACTGCTGAAGGGGTTGAAAGATTCATTTCAGTTGTTACATGTTTATGCTTTTGTTCGGGATTTTACTGAAGAAATGTGGTCATGTAGATATTACTGATTAACAGTCCATGGACTAACCGAAGTTGTCTGCTCAAAGGCTTCAACTTCATCGCAGTTTCGCTGTCTTTTAGCTTCACAAGTCATGATGACCTATTATGTGTGAAAGTTTTATGCATTGATGGAGTGATTTGATTCCTACGTCATTCTGCCATGTTGAATGTTGGTTGGAATTTGCAGGGTTTCCACCATGCTGAAGCAAATTCTAAGCAAACTTCCTCGCAAGTCGTCAAAATCTGATTCACTAGATTCTGCAGGGAGTGATTCTGGCAACAATACTCCCAATTTGGGGAGTGGGTTCCAATGTACAATTGGTGGGAGTTCTCTTACAAGCAAATTAAATGTTGTCAAGCGAGTGTCTTCAGCAGTTTTCCCGTCAAGCATTGCAGCTGGAGCTGAGGCAGTGGAGCCCCATCTATCCTTCAAGGAGGTTTCCAACCCTCAGAAGCATAGTCTATTTATCAGTAAGCTGAACCTTTGCTGTGAGTTTGTTGATTCCAGTGATCCAGTTAAGCAAGATCTCAAACGCGAAACATTGATAGAACTTGTTGATTATGTTTCTTCTGGGACTGTGAAGTTCACTGAACCAGCAATTTCTGCTGTGTGTAAAATGTGTGCAGTCAACCTGTTTAGAGTTTTTCCACCTAAGTACCGATCTAATTTTACTGGGGGTGAAACAGATGATGAAGAACCAATGTTTGATCCTTCTTGGTCATACCTGCAAATTGTGTATGATCTTCTGGTTCGGTTTATCAGTTATACTTCACTTGACATAAAGGTGGCAAAAAAGCATGTGGATCACTCTTTTATCGTAAAATTACTTGACCTCTTTGACTCTGAGGACCCAAGAGAAAGAGACTGTTTGAAAACCATTCTGCATAGGATTTATGGAAAGTTCATGGTACACAGACCCTTTATTCGGAAAGCTGTCAGCAATATCATATATCGTTTTGTTTTCGAAACTGAAAGGCATAATGGAATTTCTGAGCTGTTGGAAATTTTTGGAAGTGTAATTAGTGGGTTTGCTTTGCCATTGAAGGAGGAACACAAGATATTTTTGTGGAGGGCTCTTATTCCTCTACACAAACCAAAGTCAGTGGGTATTTATCATCAGCAATTGACATATTGTGTTGTACAGTTCATAGATAAGGATCCGAAGTTGGCAAGTACTGTAATAAAGGGTTTGTTGAAGTTCTGGCCTGTAACAAATAGCCAGAAGGAGTTGATGTTTCTAAGTGAGTTAGAAGAGGTTTTGGAAATGACTAGCATGGATGAGTTTCAAAGGATCATGGTTCCATTGTTCCGGCGCATAAGATGCTGCCTCAATAGTTCTCATTACCAGGTAATATTCTACTGCATAGATTGGCGGCCAAATTGCAATTCTTAGTACATCTTGAGTTTTCAGATTATATGTTTGACTGAAAATTTGCTTTGCTTGACACTAAGAACTACACATTAGCATGATCTTGATCATATTCCCGATAAAGCTTCTAATTCATGTTATTTTCATGCCTCTCTTTTCCCTCTATGACATGTTTTTTTGTTTCAGGTGGCTGAACGAGCCCACTTGCTGTGGAACAATGAACACATCCTTAACCTTATCGCACATAATCGCCAGGTAATCTTTCCTCTTGTCTTCCCAGCTATTGAGCGAAACACCCAAAACCACTGGAATCAAGCAGTGCTGAACCTGACCCTCAATGTGAAGAAGACATTTTGCGATATGGATGAGGAGCTGGTACTTGCCTGTCAATTTAAGTTGGAGGAGGAAAATATAAGGTCAAGCGCCGCAGCTGAGAAGCGAAGGTTAACATGGGAACGCTTGGAAACTGCTGCTGGTGTCCAACCTGTAGCCTGTAACTTTTTATCTCCCATAAAGCCTCCCGCGTGTCCTGTTGTCTGCTAATTTCTCAAGTACCAGAACTTGGCATGCATTTGTGACAGCTCTAATCGAGTATCAAAAATTGGTTCTGAACGGAACCAGAGATAGAAAACGGGGTTGATCATGTTAGTGATTGGATGTTGTACTTTGGAATTGTACTGATGGATGATCCCGCTGCGCTGAAGATTCGTTAAAGGACTGTTTTCCTTGCTGTATGTTATGTTTGTTGACACATCTTTGTATCTTTACAGAAAGGTTGGTTTGCTGTGGCCTATCTTTTGTAAGTTGTAATTTTTTCTGAGTCTATCCCTATTAAGTAGATGGTGATCATGCTCAAAGCCATTGGCTTTGTAATGTCAAAAGAAGATTTGTATAGCTAAATGGATGTCCTCATTTTTTTTTTGGAACAAATATGTTTGACCTTGGCTAGTATGGATTCACATGTACTAGGTGAAGTTCATAAATCTAAATGTTGCTATGATGACTTTTTGAACAACATCTGACTCAAGGATTCTACGCGTTATCTCTGTTTATTATGTTAGTGTTTTGGTCTTGCTTATGTTTCACAAATTTTGAGTTTAAAGTTATTTTTCTACTAAAAGAGTCATCTACATACAAACGGGAGAAATTTTGGTGGGGATGACGGATTAGGACAACTTTATGGGGGTGAGACTAGTGCAAAATCGGATGAGATCAAAATATATGAGATTCTATTTTGGTATGGTGTTTTGATTTTGGCTGAAGTAGCCATATAAAAACGATTGAATTTCGGTAGGACAGACTAACAGGGCAACTCTCGCATTTGGTGAGAATCAATTTGGGATCGAGTAAGACCAAATCATACGCCATCCTTGATATTTTGAGAGGTCCTTTGCGGATGACCTGGTTGGACTCCATTACCCATATTTTTCCGTCAACTAACCCATGTTAGAATCATACAACTGTCATACCTGAAAGAATAAAGGAGAGTAGGTTTTGGAGTCTCGTCTTTAATATTGATAAAGAAACAAGTGATTTCCTGTGATTGACAAGGATATGAATCACGGGAAGCCCTGATGATGGTGCCATGACTCATGCCATTGGAATTTGACTTCTCATCTTCATTTGGACGGTGACCACACATGGCCTGCACATATGTATACGTATACATGCACCTACTATACGTATATATATGCACATAAACATGTGTATATGTATGTATGCTGTTGAGAACGTAAATTCCACGTCAAGGAATTGAAGGATCCTGCATGTCCTCATAAAAGTTGAGCCGCTCTCAATATTAGCAATTAGTTTTTTACCTCAACTTTCTTCATAGTATCAGAGCACATTACCCACGTGTTGAACTACAACTCGCGTGCTCCCACGTTACCCAATTGTAATGTCACGTCCTAGGCTTAAATGACGCCATACATGTGCTAGGCTTAAATGATCTTATATGCAAGCGACTATGTTGAAAATGTATATTCCACATCGAAGATTAAGAAACTCTGTACGTACTTATAAAGAGTTAGACTACTTCTCGTATTACCCACTAATTTGTGGCGGGATAGGATCTCTCAGCTTCATTCCCTCACCCACCTGTCCACCACTACTGGAAGGGTTTAGTACCAAATCTGATTAGTTGCTTATCACACGCAGCTTTTATCATTAAGTATTTCTATTCAAATTTGTAAGCCTAAAAAAGCATAGAGTTGCACAGAAAACTCAGCACTCTCTTAGTTTGTGATGGGAGGAAGAAGAGAAAATGTATGCACCATCGGGGCACCAAGAAATGTCGCTGGTTGATCACGTTCGAAGGCGCCACGAGGAGAAGGGCTGCATCTATGCTTGGTTAGTAAGAAAGAAATTTTTTAAGAAAGTTGAGGTTCTACCATAAAACCAATTGATAATATGGAGAGTAACCTCCTCCCATCAATGTGGGACTCATTCTCAACACGCCCCCTCACATGTAGCGAATTTTCAAGCCTAATACGTGAACAAAACAACGGGGTGACGTGGAACACATATGGCTGTTTGGCTTCACACGTGGGACAACCTGCTCTGATACCATGAAGAAAGTTGAGGTTTCACCATAAAACCAATTGGCAATACAGGGAGTAACCCAACCTTAAGCTCATGCAAAGTTCCTCTTCCCATCAATCTGGGACTCATTCTCAATAATTTTTAGAGTTTTTACTCGTATATATTTACTCGATTATCCTTTCAATTTCGTTAATTTTGTGATATGTGAATTGTGGTGCAGTTTGTTGCCATTTCTGCTGCTATGACTTGTGAGTGCTCTTTAGATGTACTTTGTTGTTGCACTTAGAATTTGTGAGGTTTTGAGTTCCAATTTTATGGATGACAGTTGTAATGAAAGTAAATCAGGCCGCAAACCAGGCCAAACAGAAGCCCTTTTATATTAATAGCGCAACTGACCGGCACTGTGCGCGAAAGCCATAAGAGCTTGAAAATTCCTCACCCCAAGACCCCTTTCCTTTAAAGGGACACAACATTTCTTCCAAGAAACAGAGAAATAGGTTCGAGAATTGTACTACTTGTCGAAATAAAATTGCGAACCCAGCTGCAAACTTGTAATAAAACAGTCTTAGACCAAGCATAAACAGAAAAACTGTGAGTTAACATGTTTAACAACTATAAAATTAATAAGAGTCACCCCCATGTAATTTGGATTATATAATATCTTTTTAACAAGCATATGTCTTTTCACATGTAAATTTTTTCGCATATATCTTCTCACCCTTCTGTAATCCAGTATTAAATTAAATTCATGAGCTACAAGTTGGTTAGTTTCACTTTCACCTATATGCCTAGTTATCTTGCCGGTAGAGATATGCATCCTCACAAAAAGAACCCAACAAAAATCTCTCTAACAATTCTTCATAAGGAGGAATAAAATCGATTCAAGTCTATGCCCTTGCTGCTAAATGTTTAACAGATCGTTGAATGTCGATGAAATATTTTGTTTTGATAGTTGACAAGTTTTCGATTCATTACTCGTTTAGAGGCCGAGGAAGATATGCAGGATGTACAAGAAGACAAGTGAGCAATATGGACTTGAAAACTTGAATGTTAATTACATTAGAGAAAGAGAAGCTCTTCAACAACATAAAATTAATTAGATTTGATATTAAACCAGTGCCAAACAATTTCATTATTTCACCTTCAAGTTTCGAAAATCCACGATAATGATACTGGATTACGTAATCGACAAACAAATTAACTAACGAGATTAGAAGCCGGCACAGTTGAGTGTCATTTGAAGAGTTTCTTGACAATTTTTCTGGTTGTGTGCTTCTCTCCTGTGTACGGCTTCCCAACTCCACGGAAAATAACCTTAGCTCCAGATAAGTATGCCGTCGCCAGCACAGTTGCAGCCTACACAATGCATGATCAAATTCAGTCATTAGTTCACATAACACATGATCATAGCATCAGCGAAAGCAAAAGAAAAAACTTGAAAACACGATATACCTGCTTTGGACTGGCTGCATGAACAACCACATCTGAACCGTCGTCTCTGGCCTCCTGGACTGCTTCCTTTATGGAAATTGCAGGATCTTTCTCGTACCGCTTCTCAAAAATAGGAATCCGCTGACATGGAACAAAAGTGGTTTCTTAATAATCGGAAGTTAATTATCAGGCTGAGACAGTAAGTAATAATCTTTACGAGTAAGGTGACTCAAACTTAGGTGCAAGGGGTGGGACACTGCCCCAACAAACTAACCAAAATCACGTCTGTGAAATATAATCTTCTTAAGTGAATGTGAATCCTATAATTGAAACTATCTATATAGCTCAGTACCTGGAGTTTCCAGGCATCTCTACGCAGCTGCTTAACAGTCTCTGACCGGAATGTATTACGGTCAGCCACCATAATAACGCTGTTCTTCCGTTCCTTCTGAAGCCGACAAGCAGCCTGCAGCAAGTTGATCACAATGTATGATTAAACAGAACCATTTAGTAAATTAGAGGCCTGCTTGACTTAAGCACAAGAAATAAATCAATCGGGTTAATTACCTTAACTGAACTGATTGCTTTCCAATCTCCCGTGGTGTCAATGTAAGCGAAAACACAGGGTTTCCTTGGCACATTCTTCTGCAGATTCAGTATAGGAGAAGAGTCCGCGGTAGGAGTTAAAATACGAACAAATTCTTCTTCCATTGCTGCCTGCACAGCAGAAGATATTGTTGTGAACCACGGCAACTTTTTACCCTCAAGACTAGCAGCCACTGATTCACAAAGCTCCTCAGCTACGGCCTCGGCCTACGAAAAAGCACAGACAGATTACAAATAAATTAATTAAGAAACTTGATGATCAAGGTGGCAGCATAAGATTAGGTATTAATTAAATTAAGAAACAAAATATATACCACATTCTTGGCCATGATCAGCTTCTCTTTGAGAGCTTTCAAAGCTGGTTCGAGGTCCGACTTCTCCAATGGCATTCTTTAAGAAATTTACCAGCATAATTAGTAATTAATCAACTTAGAGTAGGAATACAGATAAAGATAATAAAGCATCAAGATACATAGAATGACTTACCTCCGGAACATACACGAAAACCACCCGTTATTTTTGTATCCTTCATGTCCAGCCTTTTGCACGGGTTTTGACTCAAAGTAGTCCTCTTTAGGGGACGTGTATTCAATTGGAATTTTAACGGACTGATCATACTCCTTATTAAGGCGAGGGTATTCAATAGGATATTTGACGGACTCAAACTCCTCGTCAAGGGAAGGGTACTGAATTGGTATTTTAACGTAGTTCATAAGTTGTTTAAAAGGTTCATCAAAATCATTGTAGACGTCCCTCCTCGTCGGATCATAAATCTCCAAGAACTTATGCTTTGCCATCGAAAGCAGTTCATCCACATACCAGACGTCATGGAAGGTTTTCTGATCATAAACAGAGAGAAACACGAGGCGAAGCTCGTCATGGAAGGTCCATTTGAGTGTGTAAGCAGCCCCTGGGCGATTATAATCCAAAGATGATGTCGCTGCTGCTGCGCCAGACAGTTCCTCCATAAGACAGGATTCGATGAAGTTTCCAAGTACTTCTGATCCATGGCCGTTAAGAGCACTTTGAAGCTCTTTATATGTCCACAGGATTAGTCCTCCCCTGGTAAATATGAACAATTGTTCCAACATCTTCAAGTGATAACTTGAATGCCACTCTGCAGTCAAATGCATAACACATTAATTAACTCAGCAGCCGTAGAATTGAAAGATAAACACAAGAGGTTTATGTCCGCCGACCAAATGTAACTTTTTTTGGTCGAAAAAACAAAAATTATAACTAGAAATTAAGTTACACTACACAACAACAAGAAACAAAAAGTTTACCAAATGTTATGAACTAAGAAGATCGGCAGGCTAAGCGATTAAAAACAAAACTAACTTTGAAGTAGCGTAGGTGCTTCGAAATGCAGGCTCGGTGCTTAAAACAAGATTGGGTTTTGTATGATGAACTCAGAAGAAATGCATCTATCTCACTCTATTTATGCTGATCGTTCTTACTTGGTTGTCAAGCAAACCCTAAGTCATGATCTTCTTAGGAGAATCTGTGTTTAGGTTAACCTAGTATCCTCCCAACCGAATGATTATCTTGATAAGTATCATAATGATTTAATTTTCGATCTCGATTCTTACTAAATAGCTGCAAATGCTTATGATCTAGTGAAATATATGTAACTCCTTGTTTGTTTATTAGATCAGACCGAGATTTCGTCATGATCTCGTGAAATATTTGCCTTTGGTATTGTTTGTTTGCACTGTAGGCCTTGGATTTATGTTATCTATATATGTATATATGTATGCGCGCATGCATCCACCCATGCGGAACTACCATTTATGATCATTAAAAGGAATCTCACAAGTTCATTTTGTATATCGAAGGTGATCGATATCTAGTAAAAATCGAAGTTTATTTTATATATCAACTAGTTCATTTTGTATATGGAAAGTGATTGATATCTGGTAAAAATCATAGTTCATTTTGTATATTGAAAGTGATTGATATCTGGTAAAAATCATAGTTTATTTTATAAATCAACTTCCACCGTAATTTTTTTGTATTCTACACGATGATCTCCCTACAATTACGTAAGTTGGCAAAATCTTTAGTGCAACTAGTTGCATATCTGATTGTATTTGTCGTTTTTTTTACTTAATAAGACACGTAATAAAAAGAGAAATATACACATAGCAAAGCCAATCCTAGTATAGAATGAGCCGGGCTAACCCGGTAACTGCACGGGCCCAAGGACTCGGGGGCACCAAAATCATTTTGTTGGTCTGTGGGTATGCGGTTATGTTTTTGCAATGTTAAAAATAATTAAAACTCAAATAAATTAGCAAAATAATACAAGCAGCAGTGTTGGTTTTCGCTGCTTTGTTGCATAAGAGGCCCCTTTTCTTCTTTTCTTTTTAAATCTGTAACTTGAGTTTTATATGTAGGCATTGGTTATAGTGTAATTGGACACATATTCATTTCATTTAAATACCACGCACGCAGGTTCAAATCTCCCCAGCAACAAATTCAGATTAAATATATTGTATGGAAGAAAAAAATAGTAGTTTTCTGTATACTAATTTTCACAATTTCATAGTCTTATAGCGATATATATATATGTTTTTTTTTGGATAAAGGATATTAAGAACCTTAAAAATTATTACTGTAATTTGGTATTCATTCATTGTTTATATACAAAAACGAAAAAAACTCAAAACATTTTTCTAATGGGACCGATATTTCCAATTGGTAAAAGGTTAGTAAATTAGAAGGAAAATAAAAAAACACCCTACAACTATAAGTTTAGTACAAAAATACTTATGTCACATTAATAATAGAGCATCTTTGTTAACGTTGCCCATGGCCTCAAAAATCTCAGTACCGGCTCTAACACATTGCATCTAAGGGCGGAGCCACTGGGGTGAGCTCCTCAAGCCGTGTGTAAAGTGAAATGATTTTCCTGCTACCTGTTTTGCAGCTGAAAATTTTACAACGCTACTCGCTAGCCATCTAGAAGTATCAGTTCCTCAAACCACCACTCAGCTAGCCATCTACAAGTATCATTTCCTCAAACCACACTTATTAGAAGGTTAACATTTACTAAACTCTTTATCCAAATCATGGTTTACAATGATACAGATTACCGTTATCGTGCTAGCGTACATGAAACAGTTTCGATTGCATCTACACCACGTCGCCATCTTAGATGATAATGGAAAGATCATTCTGTTGAGCAGGTCGATCTCAAAAAACGTAAACGCAGGCAATGGAAGTGAGAATTGTTGTCAGAAGTATCGAAACAACATTCACAGCATTGTTGTCAAGAAAGTTAAGACCTGAAATTTGCTCAACTGTTGGCCCCGGCTTTCCAACAACCTGGAGAAACAAAAGAAGTTGGAATGAGATTAGTTAAGCAGATTCAATTGTTGCCTTAAAGATGATAACATCAGATTCGCGTATGCCTTTAACACACCTTGTTACGAACAGTGCAGAATCCACTGAATTGCAGCGTTGCTCCCAAAAGAGAATCGATGACACTACCGCCTAGTCCGGCAAGAGTAGAAATAGGTATCACCAACAGCTGCTTCAGTGCTACATCATATGCGCATTTTGTAGTGAGAAATCCAATAACAGCAAATGTCAGTCCGATAAGGGAGCCTGCAGCCGCAGCTGCCAGTAGTCCTGCTTTTGTAACTCCGCCATTGGTACCCTTCCGAACAGGCTGCCAACACAATGTGGAGACCCAAATTAATATCCGTATCTACATATTCAAGCAGCCAGATAATTTCGATTTCTTTGAGCTAGACAAATACATTCCCCATAACACCATAAATGCCAATCATGACAGAAAAAATACTTTATACCCTTAGTCTATAAGGCGATCGGTAATTCTTTAGAACAGTTCAATTCAAAGTATAAAAAGATGCACAAATAACACTCATAAGCAACAGCACGAAAGCAACTAGGCTTTTACAAGGAAGATGGGAGACGACAGGGAACTGCGAAAATGTAATGATACATACTATATGTGTGTTCATATGACAATTCAACTAGTTATCGAGTTTAAGGACACGTATTCTAGACAGAACTTTGATGATTAGGTACGAATAAGAAATTTACCTACACCGGGATGCCAGGTAACCCAACTTAATCACGCATAGAAATGCATTTTTAACTTCCCCACATGGCAATGCGTCATTAGATTGGGATACCGCCACAATGACATCCCTTTGTAAGGAAGTTCTTTCTCCAGCTCAAGATATGTACAGAAGTGCACGCATTTGCAATTTTGCAGCAAGAATAAGATGCGAAAAATTGAAACTTTGGCAAAATCTAAGCTTAACCCAAGTGAGAAAATACTAAATCGAGCAGGTCATACGAACCTTAAGAGTCGTGATCAACCGAGGCTGAGCATCGCTCAGAACTCCGAGCTCAGAAGACCAGGTGTCGCCATTGCTGCAAGCATAGTGACCAATAACCCCACCAACGAGCGCCGTAACGAGAACTGAGTCGTTCGAGTCCAAGCATTTCTCCTGCAATCCCGATTTTGCCCACAGAATCAGAACCAACATCGACGCGATCCCACTGTTGGACAACACCTGCACCCAATTTCTCTGGCCACCCTCTTTGAAATCGGCGTCGACGCGCCGCTTCTTGTCTTCCCCGACCTTGGTCAGCTTCGACGATGTGAAGAAGAACATCAGCAGCAGAGCTCCGTACCTTCGATGAGCAAACTTTGTGGGCAATAAGGCTGTTTGGATGCCGAGAAAATAAAAGAAAGTGGAAAGAAAATTCACCTGTATCCGACTGCAATGTGGATGGTCATGACGGCAAAACCCGCGATTGCCCCTGAGAGGTTGAGTGATTTTCTTCGGTAGGATCTCGCGGCGATCAACGACGAGACTAGGACCGCGATTAGCGGTTGGATTAAGAGTTTATCCATGCTTATCGCTCTAAACTTTGGATTAATTTTCGGGATTATGGTGGGAAGGAAGGTAAGGAAACAATGGAAGAAATGGGAAGAATGTCTGTTCACCGTGCACCGCGCCTAATAATTTTTGGCATCTCTTGTATTTTCTGGTGGCCTAGACTTTGCATCTGGGGATAAATTTATTATAATCATACATCGATGTCATGGTATTTTAAGATTAATTCACACGGTAAACATGTTATTTTCTTCTTCTCCTGAAAAAGAAGTGTACTCCAATGAAGAAATGTTTTTTTTTTTTAACAAACGATATTATTTACAATAAGGAAGTGGGAGAGTGAGTTAATGTCTCATAATGGACTAGCAATAATTTGTTTCAAATTCATCTTTGGTAAGAATTGAACTTAAGACCTCTCACTTATAAGCGAATAGAAATATTACTAGACCGTAGTATTGAGTAGCTCAAATAAACAAAAATTAAATACAAAATAATTAAACCTAAGACCTCTAATTTATCGATGAATAAAAATAATACTAAATTGTAGTAGCAAGTGATTCTAATAAACAAAAGTTAAATACAAAGCAACGTTATCGATTCAAAAAGCCACCATATTTGCGTCCGAGAGTAAATAAGTTCTTCTCCTAAAAAAAGAGTTGGCTTTAAGTTCTAAAAAAGAGAGGCTTTTTGCCATGTACCCCTCTCTCTTCACATCATTCATTCATTCAGTCCATTGGTTTCTTCCATTCACGAAATAAGTCCATTTATTACTTTAAAAGTAATGCTAAAAATATCAAAATTTTGAACTAAATCTTTTAAATCAAATGATATGAATGTTCATGATTAAATTATCACTTAAATGTTAATTAAAGTATTTATATTCTATTGAATCCTCATCATTTAGTTTACAAATTTAATTTAAAATTTTGATATTCTTAATATTATTTTTATTTTAACAGTCATACCGTCATATTACATATGACACTCACTTAAACAATGGTTTAAAGTCGGCGCCCGCCAAGTGTTGCTGAGTAAGTTGTCTTATAAATAAAGAATAAATATCAATTAGTCGGGTAGAAAGTTGATTTAAGCGAATGAGGATCCTCTTTGTGAGGATCCTAAACATCCTCAAATCGTATTCGTTCATCGTATGATCAGTTTTCGTCAGGTATTGTTCTTGTTTAATTTTAAATAAAAATATTTAAAATAAT